GGGGAGAGAGAGAGGGAGAGAGGAGAGGAGAGAGCGAGCGAGAGAGAGAGAGAGAGAGAGAGACCTGATGTCAACCTATGACCTTCACACACACCTACAGGTTCAGGGGAGGGGAACATGACCTTAAGTCAACCTATGATGTGCACACACACAGAGGGAGGCAGTGGTGCAAATCTAGCCTTTTGATCATTCACACACTCCTGAATGAAGCAGTTCCTTCTTCTGTTGGGAGCTGGACCACCCAAGGCTTTCTCAGAGTCCCAATGAAAGGACAAAAGGAACCTCTCTGTGTCTGCCCAGGAGCAGACTTGTCAAGGTCCAGTCTGGGCCTGCAGCCTGGGCTTTGAAGGAGTTAAGATTTTAGCTCCTGGGAACTTGGCATTTCCCCTCTAAAGAGACTGGAGTTATCAGTGCCAAGGCTTCCATGTGCTCGGTCTCTGACACCCTTGAGATAATCTTGTTCTCCTTGTGCAACATTGCTTGATTAGCCTCCTGCTGACTTTGTCACACTGTACAATGGCTTTCTACTGACTCCATCCCATTTTCCCCACAAACAGTATATAAGATGCTGTACTTAACAAACATGTGTGGCAGAAGACACAACTAGTGTGAGACCTCCTGAGCCACCTGATCTATCTTTATCTCTGATCCCTGGCCCTTGCTCCCCAGGACCTTGTCACTGAAGAATGACCTGTTGGTCCAGGTCACTTCTCTACCTCCACTCTACACGAAACAGCTAAGGCACTCTCGGGCAGGCCTTGAGGCTACACTATTTGGACCTTCCACCCACGAGAAATGCTACTTTATACATTGTGTACACTTGGCTATTGTGCTATGGTGCCCCAAGAATGGAGACCTAGGGGCCATGGAACTGGAGGCACAGGTCAGACCTCCAGTTGTAGCCTGGTATCTTAGAGTGAGATTTACCCACTGGGTCTCAGGTCTCTCCAAGCCCAGTGTGCAGGCTGTTTTTTATGTTAACCTGACATAAGCTAGAGTTTTTTGGAAGAGGGAACCTGAATTGAGAAAATACCCCTGCCATGTTGGTCTGTAAGCAAGCCTGTGGTACATTTTCTTGATTAGTGATTGATGTGGGAGAGCCCAGCTCACTGTGGGCAGTGCCACCCCTGTGCTGATGGTCCCAGGTGCTTTAAGAAAGCAGGCCAAGTAAGTCATAGAGTGCAAGCCAGTATGCAGCATGGCCGCCGAATCAGCCCCGCCTCTGGGTTCCTGCCCTGCTTGAGTTCCTGTCCTGACCTCAATGATGGACTGTGCTGTGCAAGTGTGCACCAAATAAGCCCATTCCTCCTCAAGTTCCTTATGCCCATGGTGATTTGTCACAGCAATGGAAACCCTAAGGCATCTGGTGAGGGCATCCCACTTCAGACAAGGGAAGTGAGACTCAGCCAGGCTGAGTTACCTGCCGGAATGGTAGGTAGGCATTAGCAGGCCTGGAAAGCACTTGGGTTGGGCTTCTCACTCATAGCCAGCAACCTATTCGAGAGGACTGGATAAGCAGGACTTGAATTACTGGTTAGAAGAATGGGTTGAAGTCATATCTCTGGTCCTGTGAGTTATGACATCCTGAACTGCTTGGAAGGCCATTCAACCCTGCTCCCAGAATCCCTGACCTGTGTAAGATGACTTTATAGCATGCATGAGGCTTTCTGACTAAGAGTAAAGATGTCTCATTCCTCCCTCCAGGAAGCATGCAATCAAAGACCTGATGTGAGTACTAACTAACACTATCAACATGACAGACACTACAGTCACCTAGGGGACCAAACTCCAGCAGGTCTGAGGAGGTTCCTATATTGGTCAATTCAGGTGGGAAGATTCACCCTAAATGTAAGTGAGCCCATCCTGTGGGCTGTATTGAACAAAAAGGAGAAACTAAGCTGAGCACCAGCATCCCTCTGTTTCCTGACTATGGATGCCATGGGACCAATCACCTCCCACTGTTGCCATGCCTCCCATATCCTGGAACTTGAGCCAAAAATGAACAATTCCTTATTAAGATCACCCTTCTGTCATTTCAAATCATGGAGAACCATCTTTTGAGAGTGTCTCTTCCCATGATCTCTACAAAGGGGCATCTATACTGCAAGTGATGCTATAATGACACTGAGTATCTTCCCGTGATCTCTACAAAGAAGGGGCATCTTACAGCAAATGATGCTATAATGACACTGAGTAGCTTTCGTCTTGTGTTCTTGCATGGTTGTCTTCTCAGACACTGAGTCATTTGAGAATACCTTCACTTCATCAGTGAACATGTGAAAGGGCCCCAGTGTCTCCATTTCTGATGGATCCAGACAACCCAAGTACAGTGTCAAGGATGTTTAATCACAAAGGAGCATTCTGTCCGGGCTTTGAGGTTTCAGAAGCTCAAGCCAAGCCCAATGTCACTCTCTCTTCCTGCCTTCTGATCCACAAGTAAAACTTTCAGCTCCTTCTCCAGCACTGTCTGCCTGCATGCCACCATGCTTAGTACCATGATGATAATGGACTAAACTACTCTGAAACTGTAAGCTAGCCCCAATTAAATGTTTTCCTTTATAAGAGTTGCTGTAGTCAGCCAGGCATTGGTGGCCTTTAATCCCAGCACTCGGGAGGCAGAGGCAGGCAGATTTCTGTGGGTTCGAAGCCAGACTGGTCTACAGAGTGGGTTTCAGGAGAGAAACCCTGTCTCGAAAAACCAAAAAAAAAAAAAAAAAAAAAAAAAAAAAAGAGTTGCTGTAGTCATTGATTGTAGTCATGTTGTCTCTTCACAGCAATAGAAAGCCTAAGACAGCCACCATAGAGATTCTTCCTGGGACATCACCAATCTCAGATATGGGTCATCAGTCAGTCTTAACGCTGTCCTATGGTCCAGTTTCTGTCCCACTTCCTGAGGCCCTATTTGCTATGACTCATACCCACCTGGTGTCAATCTGGTTGGCTCCACTTGCTGGCCAGAGACAAACTGATCCTGGAGAGCACAACTAGACATTTGCACTTGGTTGTTCTGCAAACTTCGAGAACTGGAGTCAAGGTCACTGCATATATATTCATTGTCTCTCCATCTCTTCCCTTCTCCTTCCTCCCTGGCTGCCAGGTTATGAACTGCTCTGCTCCATCACACTTTCCCTACCACAATGGATGGCCACCTCTGAAACCACAAGTGAAAATAGACCTTTCTTCTCTGCATCGGTCATTTTGCTACAGTGACAAGAAACTTTAACTAACACTAACAATGATCTACAAAATTAAAAAAAAATGGCCCCATCTGTAACACCAAAATCAATTAAGTACTTGGGAGGAAACTCCATTAAGGAGGTGACAGCCCTGCCCAACAAAAACTCAACACATGAAGGAGATTGGGTCACAGAAAACCATGAGACTACATCCCTGAGCTGAGGGGCTAGGAGCATTATGTTAAGACAACCATCCTACCCAAGGTAACCCCCAAGTTCAATGGTGATTTCTACAAAAATCCCAGTAGCATTTTCCATAGAAATGGGGGTGGGGGTGGGGAATCAATCCTGAAGCTTCTATGGAACCACAGTAGTCCCAAATAGCAATGTGATTCCATGAAAGTAAAAAAGGATCCCACTGCCAAAAGTCAGTCTGCTAGAAAGCTCTGCAAAAACTGGGGACTGTAGCTTAGTGGGTAGCAGGCCTGTCTGGTATGTACAAGGCCTGTTTCCATTCCTGGTACTACAAAAAACGGAGCATAGTGATGCATGCCTGTCATGCCAGCAATCTCAAGGTAGAAGCAGGAGGATCAGCATTCAAGATCAACCTCATCTATGTAGAAGTTTGAGGCTAGCATGGGATACATGAAAGTAAGTCTCAAAAGTAGTAAGACAAAGCAAACAAAACTAGAGAAATCATGACGGTATGACATATAAATACCCACAGACCAAGAGATAACTGAGCCCAGAAACACACCCTCACCCATAGGGCCAGATACCTTCCCCACAGGGCACCAGATCTCACTTGGGAAAAGGATCTTCTTATGTGCTAATTATTTTGTCAATTAGACACAAGCTAGCGATGTCTGAAATTTCGATTGAGGCCTCCATTTGATTGGCCTATGGACAAGTCTAGAGGTGCAGTCTCATCCTTGGGACCACTGTGGGTGGTCTCATCCTTGGTGGGTGGTTCTGGGTGCTCTATGAAAGCAGGCTGAGCAAGCCTCGAGGAGACAGCAAGCAGCATTCTCCAAGGTCTCTGCTTCAGTTCCTGCCCTGACCTCATGGTGGTCTGTAAGCTGTGAGGTGACATAAGCCCTTTCCTCCACAAGCTGCTTCTGGCTGTTGTGGTGGTTCAAATGAAAATGACCCCTATAGGCTCATAGGGAGTGGCACTATGAGGAGGTGTGGCCTTGTTGAAGGAAGTGTGTCACTGGGTGTGAGCTTTGGGGTTTTGAGTGCTCAAGTCAAGCCCAGTGTCACTCTCTCTTCCTGCTGCTGCCTGCTGATCCAGATGTAGAACTCTCAGCCACCTCTCCAGCCACCATGCCAATAATGGACTTAACCTCTGAAATGCTTACAATTAAACTTTCCATTGTAAGAGTTCTAGGTCATGGAATCTCTTCACAGCAACAGAAACCCTAAGACAGCTATGGTGAGGGTGCAACTTCAGTTGGGGTGGAGACCTCAGCATATCTGAGATGCCAGGACTCTGGGATGCCCAGCAGGTGTGAAGTGAAACTGGCCTGAGTTTCAAAGGAAGACCAGCTATGTGTGCTGTGGATGGTAGAGCCAGGAAGTAGAACTACCCAAGCACTTTGGGGCCCAGAAGATCATGAGTGAGCTCTACTCATGATCAGCCCACTGGGAGTTTTACACTGCTGGATGTTGGTTTTGCTTTGATTGTAGCTGTGCCCTGGTTCTTCCCTCTTAAAATAAGAAGTATGTAGCTTTTTTCTTCTTTTCTTTTAAACAGCACCCACCCACAACTGCAACTTTGAACAACTTAAAATATTTGAATTTTTATTTATTTATTTTTTGTTTTCCAAGACAGGGTTTCTCCAAGTAGCTTGGCTGTTCTGGAACTCACTTTGTAAACCAGGCTGACCTTGAACTCGGAGGTCCACCTGTCTCTGCCCCCCAAGTTCTGGGATTAAAGGTGTGTGCCACAATGGCCTGGCTAGTATTTGATTTAAAGATTATGGGGCTTTTAAACCTTGTTCATTGGATGGAATAGAGAGAGATGAATGGCCATGTATAAAAGAACACCAGTGGAACCCTGTTAAATCATATACAAAATTAACTTAAAGAATTATAGGCTTCAATGCTGCTTGTTCTGAGCAGAAAACAAGCCACTTCTTTAATACACCAAAAGGTAAGATTCCGTGGGACCTGGGGACATGGCTCAGTGGACAAAGTGCTTGCCGTGCAAGCGTGAGGACCTGAGTTCAAATGCCAGCACCCATGTAAAAACCCAGGTATGGTGATGCAGTATTATAATCCCAGTGCTGGGGGGTGGGGTGGTATCAGGATCCCTGGAGCTCACTGGCAAGCTTCATCAGTGAGAACCAAGTCCCAGTGAAAGACTTGTTCTCAAAAAACAAGGTGGACAGCACCTAAGGAATGACACCTGAGACTGACCTCTCGTCTGCATGCACACGTACACAAAAGAGTTTTTGTTTTGACTTGATTTCTTCTTTTTTTGAGATAGGATTGCTATCTAGACCAATCTGGCCAGGAACTCTACATTCTCCTCCCTTGGCCTTTAAAACTCTGGAACCACAACTGTGTTATCATACCCAGCTTAAAATGTTGGAACTTTGATCCTGGAGGGTCTTATAAGCAGCTGGCCTGGGCTGGAGTCTTTCTGCTGGCAAGGGATAGAGGATGGGGACACAGCCTCAGTAGCAGTCAGCTTCATTCTCCTCTAATATACCCACCGTCGCCAGCATGTCCTGCAGTAGGGACTGTGGGCTCTTCTCCACATGGTCACTGCTCTTGGCCAGCTTGCCCTGCAGGCCCTCCAGGTCTAGGGACCGAAGGATAGCTAGCATGGCCTCAGGCTCCAGGTCCCCCAGGGGCTGGCCCTGCTCACCCTCCCGCCACCTCTGCAGGACAGCCTCCACAGAGGCAGAGTTGGGGCTGTCCCCAGCCTCCTGGGGGCCACTGCAGTGAGTTGTCTTGTCCCTCAGGAAGAGGAGCAAGTCACAGGCCTTCTGGGCCACTGGTCGGTCACAGTCAAGCAAGGCACAAAAGGCAAACTCAAACAGTGGCAGACGGCAGAGAGTTTGCAAGAATTCTGGGTGTGGTCTGGGAGAGGTGGCCTCAGGAAGGCCCACTGTATAGGGACAGTGGAGGCTGGGCTGCCCCATTGCCTGGATGAGGAACACCTGTGCCAGCTCCAAACCCTGCATTCGGACCTCCCAGTCCAGATCCCGGCTCACTGCCTGGAGCACAGTGGCCACAAACCACTCTGTGTCTCGAATCACATCAGCATGGCCATCCCTCAGCCACTCAGTAAAGACCCGTAAGACAGCCCTCCGAGGGAAGCCCTCTGAGTCCGTAGACAGGATATGCATGAGGTCCATAAGTAGGCCCTGCAGGTTGGAAAGTTCCAGAAAAGTCAGCATGATATTGTCAACTTGACAAGATCCAGAATCACCTATGAGACAAACCTCTGGGAGTGACTGTGATGGAGTTTCTAGATAAGGCTAGAGGAGAGAATATGCTAGGTCCCAGATGGAGTAAGAAGAACGAGAGCTGAGCATCCATCTCTCTCTGCTTCCTGACTACAGATGCAAATTAACCAGCTGCCTCATGCTCCTGCCACCATGACTCACCCACCATGATGGACCTTGCCCTCAAACCCCACCCTTCCTTAACCTGCTTTCATCAGGCATTCTAATACAGTGACAAGAAAATCAACTAATACAGCTGATGAGCCAAGAAGGAGAGACCCAGGAGACACGTCCACGGTCACCTGAGCTTCGGCCATGTGCTGCTCTGGCCCCTTCACATAATGTGTTCAGTATGCACTGCTCTTCAGCTTTGCCCTTGCCTATCATCCAGACAGGGTCACAGTGGCTAAGATGGGGTACCCTGCTGCCCCCAGGCTCCTTAGCAGTCCCTCTGGATAGCCCTGCTCTCAGGATTGAGCTACAGATCTGACCAGCTGCTTAACCACTCACTGGGCCAACAACAACAAATGGGTCCTACCTGCTGGGCCAGTGGGTTCTCAGGGCTGGCAGAAGTGGCCTGCAGACCCCGGCTAGAGAGCTGCCCAGCAGTGCCCACCGCACTTGCTCGGACATAACTCTCGGGGTCTTGGAGGAGCTGGCGGGCAAGCGTGGGCACTTCTGAGGAATGTAGTGCCTCCCTGAAGTCAGCCTGTCCTGGGGATCAAATGCCACACAGTTGTGATCAAAGGCCACTCAGGTAGTCTGAGAGCCCCAGAGCCAGCAGGGACACAGCAACACAACATACACACTCTGGTCCCCAGGGTGCTCACCTCCCCAGTGTCGGATAAGATGTGTCAGGAACTCCAGGGCTGAGTCCCTCACCTCCCAACAAGGACTGCACAGGCGCTTCTGTAGTATGGGGAATAGCTCTGTACCAGGAAGGGGTGGTCAGTGGCCTCTAGGGTCACACTCTGTCTTCCCTCAGGATTACCTTGCCCAGCCCCTAACTGACTCCACCCCAGCTCTCCAGCTTGATACAGTTCTGCAAGGAGCCAAGGTTACCTCCAAGGAACAGCAGGGCATCAGGGCTGAGATCGGAGCAGTTGGGAGTCTTGTGTGAGTTCTGGAGCCATCTGAGTGTGGCCTGGAAGGCCTTTTTCAGGACCTAGAATGGGCAGGACAAGCTATAGGGCAGGAGTGGCAGGCTACCCACATGGATAGGGCTCTGTGGCCCCTACTGGAAGCATTTTTAAGCAAGACGGTCCCCAGCTGTGCAGGCCCCCCAGAACCCATTTGCAGTACCGTGGGGCTGGATTCCGGGCTCTCAAGGGTCTTGAGGAGGACTGCAAAGACCTCCAGCACCAACTCCAGGGGGCCTGAAACAGACATGAACAGAAGCATCAACCGGACTTCTACCTGGCAGGGAGCATGGATTCCAAGACTTAAGGAAGCAGGAGTGTGATGCCTGAGAGTGCAGGGGTGAGATGCCTGAACAAGTATAGGGGTGAGATACTTGACCCAGGAGTAAGATGCCTGAGTGCAGGGGTGAGATGACTGAGTGCAGGGGTGAGATGCTTAAGCACAAGGGTAAAATGCCTGAGTGCAGGGGTGAGATGCTTGAACACAGGGGTGAGATGCCTGAGTGCAGGGGTTAGATGCCTGAGAGAGTGCAAGGGTGAGATGCCTAAGTACAGGGGTGAGATGCCTGAGTGCAGGGCTACATGAGAGCCTGTGGGACTACAGAAAAAAGAAGAGAAAATGGAACTCAGGTTAAGAGGAAACATCACTCACTTGTTCCCTGAGACAGTGTCCCCAAGAAGTCAAGGGCTGCTCTCTGGACACGAACACAGCCTCCTAGAGTCCCACAAAGACGGCCTCCCATACTGGAGCTGGGGTCCACTGAGCCATCACAGAGACGCAATATGGTCACTGTAGCTCCCAGGAGGGGCACCTGGGGCCAGGGGCAGGGGCACTGGGGCTGCAGGGAGAAGCATGAGTTAATAGAGGCCTGGGGTCATATGACCTGATGGACACTGGCCCGGGCTGCACCTACCAGCATCTGTAGCTCCTCTAAGTGAGCCAGGGTCTGGCAGAGGAGTCCCACACAGGCCGACTTAGATGACAAGAGAGCATCCACAGTCAGCGAGCTACCAGCAGTCCCGTCCAGCAAGCCTGAGGCCAAGAACAACAGCATCCCTGTAGTGAACACTATATACAGCAGGAGCCAGGTCTCAAGTTCAGGGCCAGGGCTCATCAAGGACGCTGTCCACCTGTACTTAGTTGAGGGGTCTGGGTAGGATTAGGGCAGCTCACTCTTCTTTGCCTAAGGATGGAGGTTCCACCCTCCCTGCATACCTGGAGGTCCAGGGGCCTGAGTGGTAGCTTTCAGGATACAGGCCAGAGGCTGGAGGAGGACTCCAAAGGCCTGGGTTCTCAGTTCCTGGGGACTGAGGACACAGTACACGGTAAGGGTTATACTCTGGCAGCAATATGAACATCCTCAGTTAATTTATGGTGACTCAGTACAAGCAAGTATACAATTCCTCTGCAAGCTACTACTTAAGGATCAGGATGGGACAGAAGGCCAACCAAGGCAATCACTAGGTCTCAGGGTCCCCAGAAGGGCTGGTCACACTCCCTGATCGGAGTGACAGGCAATTTTCAGGCTCCTAAGGTAGTACCCCAGTGTGCTCATGTTGTGTTCAAAGACCTGAAATGTCCTTTTACACATTCTATGATGGACCATCCTGGTGTTCTGGGCCTGCTCAGACACTCAACACCCTTCCTCCCTGCATCCCACACGCAGCAACCCATATCTCTGCACACCCCCTGGAGTAGACACTATGGGGCTCCAGGAGCCTGGCTCATCCATAGTAGAGGTCAGAGAACAGCTACACATTGCTCAGAAGTTAGCTTTGGCTTTGGGGGCACCACAAAACTTTTGTTTCAAAAGTTATGTCTCTTGCTCAGTATGGTGGAGCATGTCTGTAATCCAAGCTGAGGGCTGAAGTATGGCTCAGAGGTAGAGCATCTGCCTAGAATCTCCCAGTGAGGAACTGGGGTTGTAGCTAGGTGGTAGAATACCTGCCTAGAATCCCCCAGTGAGGGGCTGGGGGCATGGCTCAGTGGTAGAGTACTTGACTAGCATGTATGAAGTACTGAGTTCCACACCAAGTACTGAGAAAGGAAAAGAGAAGGAAAGGGGAGGAGGAGAGAGGGACAGAAGGAGGCAACTATTGCTTTCATATCTGCCCATCCTACCTGCCTGCTCTCCCACCTGGCCTATGTTCACATCTGGCTTCCCAGTTTCCAAAGTTTCCCAACCATTAGTGTAACACTCTCAGCACCCCCAATCATACCAATGCTGAAGTTTCAGGGTCCCCAAGGCTAGAGGCCCAGCTTGTGTGGGACTCAGGCGGCTCAGAGTCTGGGCCAGCATCTCCCACAGACCACAGGCTGCAAAATTCAACACATGGGACCTACAGAAAGAAAAACCACTCCTCCATCAGTGCCTAACTAGACAGTTGCAAACATGCTCAGTCCTGAAGATACCATCCCTTGAGGTGACAGTACTAGGGTCCTCCTCATGAAGCATCAGCTGCTCTGAGACTTCACAGGCAAGTACCACTCACCCTCAGCCCCTGCAGCCACCTGACCTGGCTACGCTGAGCAGGAGGTCCATGAGCGAATGTACAGCTGGAATGGGGTCTCTCTCAAACAGGCAGGCAACAGGGGGACTCAGTCGCCCCCAGAGGACCCCTGTCCAGGGGCTATGGCAGCGCCCAAAGGTGGTGGTCAGTACATTCAAGGCCTGTGTGACCTGTGGGGTGGCTTTGGAATGCAAGGACTCTTCCACGTGGTTCACAATCTTCTGGGCACAGATAGGCCAGGCAGCAGCTTCTGAGATGGGGGACCCTGAAGCCCCACCTTGCATGGCTAAAGCCAGGATGTGTACTAGGAGCTGGCTGGCTGCAGAGGCCACAAACAGGCTGGGGTCTCCCTGCAAGGCGAAGATCGTGTCCACAGCACCTGGAGTGGGCAGCGAAAGGTCAGCCTGAGTGAGGAAGCATGCAGAGAGTACCTTGTCTCTGTCACACCCTTCCAGGCCTCAGGGAGAGCACCAGACTCCCCTCTGCTCACAAGCAAAGTCAACATGAGCCTCCAGCATGCTGGCTTTAAAGTCAACATAGCTTTTAACCAGTTCTAATTTGTTTCAAGGACAAACTCATGACTGCTTGACAATACACTACTGCGGGAGCCACCCAGATCCTAGGAGTCAAAGATGACAATATCCCTATAATCATCTGTGCTTATCCTGACAACTCTAGACCACCACCACCCTTCCCCAGCTAAGAAGACTCGATTCAGAGGTTCAGGGGCTCCTTTAGAGATCCCACAGCACAGGCACTCGAAGAAAGAGTGGCCTATATGAACTGGGGAAGGGTGTGGGCTATACTCACCACTGTCAGCCAGGAAGTGCAGGGCGCTGGGGTGGTGTGCCAGGGAGCACAAGCCCTGGATCCAGCCACTGCGTACGCTGGGCATGTTCCAGGCTGTCCAGCTAAGGGCACCTGTCTCTCCAAAGAGCCCCAGCAACAACTCCCCCTGCTAAGAAGCAAAGAAAGCATCAGGAATGCAGAGGGAGAAGGCTTTTTGTTTTGTTTTGGTTTGTCAGGACTAGTGGAGCCAGGCTTGGTGGTACACACCTTTAACCCCAGAGGCAGAAGCAGGTTGGTCTCTTTGAATTCTAGCTCAGCCAGGGACACATGGTAAGACCTTATGTCAAAAATGAAAGCAGAGAGCTGGAAAGATGGCTCAGGGTTTAAGAGCACTGGCTGCTCTGGTGAATCCAGGCCTAACTCCCAGCACCCACATGGTAGCCTGCCACTATTTAAAGCCCAGTTCCAGGAGATCTGATGCCTTCTTCTGACCTCCACAGGAACTGCATGCATGTGGTCCACAGACATACTGTAGGTATAAAAGAAAAATAAACACAGTGGTGTGGCGGCACACATCTTTAATCCCAGCACTTGGGAGGCAGAGGCTGGGCTGCATAGCAAGTTTTAGGACAGCCAGGGCTACATAGAGAGACACTGTCACAAAAGGCAAAAACAAAATACATAAAGTCTTGGTGGGAAAAAAAAAAAAAAAACCCTCAAACAACAAAACAAAAAAACCAACAGGATTGGTGGAGGCACCAATTGGTGCCACACAGCTGTTCCCAGGCCCAAGCACCATCACTCTGCCCTCATGAGAGTCACAGGAAGAATGAACAGGTTTTCTTTCCTCCTTCATCTTTCTTTGTAAGATTTTTATTATTTATTTGTCTGTTTTTCAATACAGGGTTTCTCCGTGTAACAGCTCTAGCTGTCCTGCAACTTACTTTGTAGACCAGGCTGGCCTCAAACTCAGAGATCCATCTGCCTCTGCCTCTGCCTCCCAAATGATAGGATTAAAGGCATACGCCACTATGCCCGGCCTGATTTTTATTATTTTTTAAATTATGTGTATACGTCTGAGTGTAGGTATGTACAGGAAATCAGGTGCCTGTGGAAGCCAGAAGAGGGAATCAGATCCCTTGGAGCTGGCAGGTGGAGTCACTACATGTGGACCACTCTGTTCTTTCCCCCATGCAACCAATCCATGACTATGCTGCAGACAAAGCACCCGGAGTGTCCTCCAACCCTCACATGCCCATCAGAAAGAGAAGCTCAGAACGTGGCAAGGATCACACAGACGGTGATAATGGGAAGCCTGCCAGCATCATCCCTAGCCAAGTGTTTCCAAGTAGGAGCAATATGGGGTGATGTTGGGATTGAAATCCTGATACACAGGCCAGCCACAGGAGCAGGGCCAGCCACTGACACCCACGTCCTGAGATGGCTCCTAATCCAGAGGGAAAGGATGCCCACCCCTAAGGGGACAACACATGGGAGAAAAAGGCTCACCTGAAGGTACTGGAAACAGTCCTCCTGGGCTGCAAAGATGCCAACAAGGCGTAGAACAAAGGAGAGGACCCTAGGGCTCACATCCTGTGTTTTCAGCACATGGGACAGTAGCTCCATTAGGCAGGGGTGGTCCTGCAGCAGATGGAGGCTGGACTCTGTAGACACAGGACATCCCAAGACAGCAATGACCAGGGAGAACCTCTCTAGAAGTAGCTCACATATCCCTAACCCTCAGGATTGAGTAGTCCCAGGAGGAGGGGTTTTTGCAACAAATAGCTCTTAACCTATTAAGGAGACCTCCCCCAAAAGCCAATGACTCAGCAGTAAATAAAAGATACAGACAAGAACCATAAAGACAACAAGTAAAGAGCTGGGGCTGTAATTCCACATAAAGCACCTGCCTAGAATTCCCCAGTAAGGAGCTGGGGGTTTGGCTCAGTGGTAGAGCATCTGCCTAGAACCTCCCCAGTAAGAGGCTGGTGGCTTGGCTCAGCAATAAAATACTTGTCTACTTCTATTATCATTAAAGGGAAAAAAACGGAAAAAAGAAAGAAGAGTGACTGAAAGAAAGAGAGAGAAAAGAAATGAAATAAATAAGGAGCCATTAAAGACAACACTACATAAAAAAATTGAATTTACAATCTCAGGGCAACACTTTTACACACCTCCAAGAAAGAATTGAGGGACAGATTGTCAAACACAGCAGATGTGAATGGTGAAGGCCAATCTAATGAACAAAAGTGAAAACTGTTCACTCCAACATGTGGAACATTTTCTTTTTTTTTAAGGCGGGGTCTCTTGTAACCTAAGTTAGCTTTGAATATGTTATATAGCTGAGGATGGCCTTGCACTCCTGATCTTCCCACCTCCATCTTCCAAATGCTGACACTATAGGTATGTCACCAGACCTTTTTTTTCCCTTTTGGTGGGAGAGGGCCAGTTTTAGGGACTGAACCCAAGGGCCTCAAGTGTGGTGGGCCCACTGAGCTACTTCCCAGGGCCTTTTGTTGTTGTTGTTGTTTTGGGGTAGTTTGTTTGCTTGTTTTTACAAAGTCTAGCCCAGGTTAGCCTTGAACTTGCCAGGCAGCTAATGCTGACCATGAGCTCCTGACCCTCCTGCCTTTGCTTCCCAAGTGCTCTGCCACACTTGGCTACCAGCCCTGCCACTCGTTTTCAACAGCATCTTCCTAAGTTGCCTCAAACTCACTGTGCAGCCCAGACCATAATCCTCCTGTCTCAGCCCCAAGTAAGTGGGCTAACAGGCCTGCACCAACAGGCACAGCTCCATCATGTGGAACATTTTAAAAATTGAGGGGCCAGGCATTGGTGGTACACACCTTTAATCCCAGCACTCAGGAGGCAGAGGCAGGTGGATCTCTGTGAGTTCAAGTCCAGCCTGGACTACAGAGCGAATGCCAGGTCAGGCTCCAAAGCTACACAGAGAAACTCTGTCTCGAACTCCCCCTAAAAATAAAAATTAAAAATTGAGGGAAATTGGGGGTGAGGTGGGAGGAAGAACTGTCTACCAAAGGACACCTAGCTATGGGGGGAACAAAAAGTTACAAAATGAGACTAGACACCTCCTAAGTTGACTAAAACCCAGTAAACTGGCACACTTCATTTCCAATCATTTATTTTATTTTATATACAATTTCGAGACAGAGTGTCCTTCTGTAGCCCAAGCTGGCCCTGAATTCACTATGGAGCCCAGACTGGCCTCAAACTTGCAACACTCCTGCCTCAGCATCCCAAATGTTGGGATTACAGATGTGAGTCACCATGCCCAGCTGAACAGGTAAACTTTAAATAGGTGGACTCTGTGACATGTAAATCATATCTCCATAAAGATGTTTAGAAATACTTGCAGGTCAGATGTGGCAGCACACACCTTTAAACATGGCACTTGGGAAGCAGAGGCAGGAAGACCTCTCAGTTCAAAGCCAACTTGGTCTGAATGGTGGCCTGGACTACACAGCTGAACCCTGCCTCCAAAGAAACAACAACAAACCAAACTTGTGAAAGGGGCTGGGGAGATGGTTCCTTGGATAAGGCAGGCACTGCATGAGGACCTGAGTTTGAATTCCCAGCACTCACATAAAAGCCAGGCATGTGTCTGCATGCCTCTAATTCTAGAGTTGGGGAAGGGGTAGAGACAAGCAGATCCCAAGAACTGCCTGGCTAGCCAGCCTAGTTTCCTGTAACTTCAGGTTTAGTAACAGACTTTATCTCATGGCAATTGGTGGAGAGTGATGGTAGAAGATGTCTAATATCCTGCTCTGACCTTCGTATGTAGATACCTGGGTATGCATGCAAAACACACACACACACACACACACACACACACACACACACACACACACACACACACACACACACACACACTCACAATCCTGCAAAATTACTTGCAAAAACTTGACTAAAAAGTAGGCTTCAAAGTCTGGAGAATGGTTCAGTAGGTAAAATTTTCTGTGCAGGGCTAGAGTTCAGATTCCCAGAACCAATAAAAATGCTGGACAGGCAGCACTCCAGAGACATAGATAGGTGACCCTCAGCTGTCCTGTTAGAACACCCAAACGGACAAGCTCTGGGTTCAAGTGAAAGAGAAAGGGAGACCCTGCCTCAGTATGTGTATGTTATACATATGTAAACACACACATATCACACATCAGCACCTTTAATCCCAACACTTGGGAGGCAGAGGCAGGTGGATCTCTGAGTTCCAGGCTAGCCGGGTCTACAGAATGAGTTCTAGGACAGCCAAGACTGTTACACAGAGAAACCCTATCTCAAAAACATAAAACAAACAAAAGAAAACAGGGAAGACAAAACACACACAAAAAACATAAATGCTGGGGATATAACTTCATTGGTAAATTGATCGTCTGCCATGCAGGAAGCCCTGGCTCCATCCTCAGCATCCAATAAAAACAGTGAGTGATGGTTCACACCTATGATCCCAGCACTCAGCCACAGACAGGAGAACCAGAGGTTCCAGGTCATCCTTGGCTACAGAGTGAGTTTGAAGACAGCCTAGGCTACATTAGATCATGTCTCAAATGCAAAAAAAGAATAGCAAACCAAGGAAGCAATGAAGGTAGGTATTTATGACAAGACAAGGATCACAGAATCTTTTAGAAGACAATGATCAACCATGGGAGGAAAAACTTCCAGTTGCCAGGCTACTCACACTCAAGGAAAGCTAGTACAGCACTATTTATAATAACAAAACATTGGGAACACAAACAATGCAAGTGATTAAATAAATTAAGATCCACCCACACACACAGCAAAAATGTAACTCCGGCTGGCCTTGAACGATGTAGCACAGGCTGACCTTGAAATTGAGGTCCACTTGCCTTGACTTCTGGATGGCATGTCCCACCACATCCACCCAGGGTTCTAAGTTCTTCAAAATAAGCAAAATACAAGAAAGATGGCTAAACAACGTGGTCGTGCTCTCCACAAACACCTAGTGTGAACCGAACAGCAGGAAGCCTGAAATGTGGTTGGACTCCCATGGGACTTTCGTTCACCACCCTGGCACCCCATCTTGACTCTTCATCCAGAGAGCCTCAAGGAGGTGAAACAAAGACACCGGATGGATGGACAGTTCTATACACCATGACCTTACCTGTCTCCATCACTGTTTTAAACCAATCCAGCAGTTTCTCCAAGCAGGTGTCATCTGCCACCAGCTGCCTGGGATCTGCCAGAACAGCACAGAGAGCCGGGAGGAGCTTGGAGCATTCTGGGTCCATGATCAGGACAGTGGTCCCTACAAAGGAAGCAATGAATCAGCCATGATCATATCTGGCTTCAGACCCAGCCACCCTAGTCAAAGGCAGCCTTCAATACCTGCTATGATGGGGGAGGGGCCCGGGAAACTTCACATGGACCAGAACTCTGATCCCACAAAGATGCTAAGCTCAGTCCAGGGGAACCTGGGCAATCAAGAGGAGCGAGTCCTGGTAGCTGCACTGGTCAGTGAGTGAAGAAATGTTAATCAGAGCCACAAGGCCTTTGGTGTCAACTTTGGGGTTTGGTGCGTGGGGTGGAGGTGCAACTACCTACTGACCTAGCTTCGAAGAGAACAGTCAGGGGATCAGCCAAGTGTGTAGGGGACTGTCCATCCAGGCACCTGATCCCAGAGACTGTTCCCAACGGTCAAGAGAAACCTGCATGAGACCCAGGAGTGCAAAGGAAGGTGTGTGTCACAGCCCGGGTCGGAGAGGCTGCAAGTGACGACCCTGCGGCCTGCATCGGTAGGTGTCAACTCAGGACAGAAATACGCATCTTGGAGGGCAATGACATCGGTATCTATAGGCCCAGCAGGGGCCGTCTCAACCCCGATATTCGTCTTCCGTACTTTCCAAATCCCGGTAAGAGGTGCGCTCTCCGCGATATCGAATTAGCTGGGGTTCGAATACCGCTCCCGCGTCCCTCCATTACGGAACTAGACCCTAGGGTATAGAATGCACCATTAGGCCCCAAGTGCCCGGTCGGAGCTCGAACCCTGGCTTACCGGGACCTCGACCCCGGGTCTGCAAGCGCCTTTCCCACTGAGGTTCCGGTGTCTACTGCAGGCCCCGCCTGCGCCTCCGCAAATTCCGCTCCACGCCGGCTCAGGCCCCGCCCTCCCCAGGTCCTGCCCCTCCTCAGAGTTCGTTCCACGCAGCCGCAGGTCCACACCATCACAGGCCCGGCCCCACCGCGGGAGTTGGCTCCACCCCGCCTTCTTCAAGTCCCACCCCCTCCTGAGATCGCAGCCCGCAGCCGAGGCCCCGCCCCCGACGCAAGTTTCTTTACACGTGGTTACAGGCTCCGCCCCTCAGTGCTTCGGATTCCACTCTCTGCCAGAATCCGTGACTCTACAGGCCCCGCCTTAAGATACTCCCACGTGACAGGCACGGGAGAGAAAGAGCGGGGACGGTGCGCTTGGAGACTGGTGACACCTCTGACCTCCACTCCGATCACATCTAAAGCTCAAAACCCTGTATATGCACTCCCGCTGGGTGCAGCGGGGATCTCCACACTCATTCGGAACTATCACTCACGCCCGACGCTAAGCGGCGCGTGCCTACGCAAGCAGTGGGCGGAGCGTCTCCAAGACGAGTTCGGTATGGGGGGGTGGTTATTCTCGGGAAGGCGGAGCCTCGCTGCCCTCAGGCTACGAATCTAGGCATTTATGGTCCTCGGCTTTTGCTGGCTCTCAAAACCCTTGTTGCCTGCTGCAGTGAACATTGCAGGCGGGTAGTTCGAGCGCAGGGCCTCCGGTGCTGAAACCCTCCGCTCCTACAGCGGCTAGCGCTAAACTCCGGGGACTAGAGTGTCAGGACCCTCCAGTCACCAAAGTCTGCAGTTATGTGGCTCTTCACGGCTTCAGCCCCCCCTGCCAATAATAAAGATAAAACGTAGGCAAGCGGGGGCTGGAAAGACGGTTCAGTGTTGAAGAGTACCTCCTATTATAACAGACGATCAGAGTTCGGACCGCAGCCCCGAGGTCACACACACACTGTTGGCATATACTCACAAACAAATAAAACTACCTCATAGGGCAGGGTGTGGAGGCTTCTGCCTTTAAGCTCAGCACAGACGTGCCTTTGTAAGTTTGGGGCTAGTCACGCTGTCTCGAAATACTTTTTTTTTTTAAAGAAAAAAGAATTCTTCAAGTAGGTAAGAAAAAAAACAAAACAAGAGAAGCTTTGTCTTGAGGTTAATGCTGCAATATCATCCAGCTGAGGAGAGCTGTTTATTCAGAAACTGAATGCCGGGCATGGGAATAGTTAGGCTTAAGTTAAGTGCTTGTTTCGCTACCTGAGTGTCAGTCGCCAGGCCTACAGGGTGGGTGGAAGAACAAAAAGAAAAAGAAAAAGCCAGGCATGGTGCTTTACACTTTTAATCCCAGCACCGGGGAGGCAGAGACAGTGTGATCCCGAACAAATGAAATACTGTTTGCATCAGGGAAGTGTTTCCCAGCTGGCCTGGGCGGGAAAAGCCGCAGGGTCCTCCCGTAGAGATGGGAGGCTTGTGAAGGTATAAAGCAGTTGGGGCAGCCCGATGGGTAGTCCTGGTGTGGACTGTCCTTTCCTTAAGGCATCAGGCCCCGGTCTAAGAATTAGGGAGTCACTTTCGCCCCAACATCTCAGATTTAGAGGAAAACAAACATTTAAATAGGTGCCTATCACTAACGATGATGCCTTACACCCTGTCCCGTGTCTACTCAGCATGGCAACCCTCGGAACCCCTGCCCACTGGACTACACCGTTGCAGCCACTGTCTTCTGAATGGACTACACCATTGCAGCCACTGTCTGCTGAAAACCCATTCGGGCTCCTGAAATTGCAGCTGGGCGGGTGGCTCCAAGAGAGAGAGCCGCCCTTGCGTGCAGGAAGCCCTGGGTTCAACTCCTGCATCAAGAGAAACCGAAATTCCTCAGGAGAGAAGGTGCGGCTGCGCAGTACAACCCCGGGAGAGCGCATGGTCGGCCCCGCGCCTGGGCTCACTC